GTTATGGCATTTTAACCCGTAACTACAGTCTCTGAGACACCTGAACTTTTCAATTGTTTAGGTACTTCCCCCTCCGCCTATCTACGCGGATAAGACGCTAGGAATACTTTATCTGGAGTCACTTGAAACACTGTGAAATACCGGGTGCGTTTTATATATCTATATTTAACACGCTCTGTTGCTGCAAAAATCGCCAAATTTCGCAGCAAATATCCCCCGTATAAGATCAAAGGCAGTTTCACCGGTCCACGTGGAGTAAAGCACGCCTATGCGTGGACATAGCCAATGAGTAAGCGTGTATTTCAGAGCTCCGAACAAGTGCAGGTGGCTACTGAAAATTGAAACAGTTTAGCCAGTGCCGGGTTGCGGTGAATAAACGTGTTTTCTTTAGTCTGTCCGTGTTTTTTCATAGATTTTATTAGTTTGTGTGTTTTTGACTTTTGAATACTCAGTTTACTTGTTGATTTAATTGTTGTGTTGATTGTTCTTGTGTGTCCTAAATATGGCTCTTTGGAGACCTTGGGAAAATGCTCCAAGCCACGAGGAGATGGTTGATGAACCTGTGCAGGCAGAATTCTTTCATAAAGATTTAGAGGAACAGACCCAAAGAGTAATCCTAAATATGTATGATTGTCTGAAAAACGAAAATCCAGATTCCTCGCAAAATCAAATTTTAAACAGAATTTGTATCCTGACAAAAATCAGTCGGTCTACCATTTATCGGGTTATAAAAAGGGGAGATGTAGTCAACCATTCCTTCCACAGAAAGCGCATAGGGCAAAAATTAAAAAGAATAGACGTGGGTTTTCAGGAAGATATTCGTCGTATAATATACGGATTTTATAAAGAAAGTTTGGTGCCCACGTTGGAAATGATACGGGATAAATTAAAAGATTATCCTGAAGATTTTTATAATTACAAATGCTTAGATTCACTGCACTGTATTGTAAAACTGTGTGGTTTTCAATACAAAAAATTAGATAAAAGAATGGTGATTATGGAGTCGTCTCGAATCGTTGAATTGCGCCAAGAATTTTTGCACAAAGTTAAAATCTATAGAGAGCAGAAAAGAAATCTGATTTACCTGGATGAAACGTGGTATGATACCCATGATGTTGTGCAGTACGGCTGGGTTGACGACAGCAACAAGTGCATTTTAAATACACCATGCAACCGTGGAAAACGAATCATTATTCTCCATTCTGGCAGTGAAAATGGATTTATACCTAATGCCTTGCTGTTATCTGCCAAAAATATCAAAGAATCATGTGCCGACTATCATGAGGACATGACCTCCGACTTATTTGAAAAGTGGATAGAGCAGCAGTTAATACCAAACACTTCCCCAAATTCAGTGATTATTATGGACAATGCGCCATACCATTCCCGACAGAAAAACAAAATTCCGAATACAGGCACAAAAAAACAAGACATTATTGATTTTATGAAGGATAAGGGAATGGAAATACCACAAAAATCAACCAAAGCCATATTATTGGATCTTATTAAAAGACAAAAATTTGAAAAAGAGTATGTTGTTGACAATCTGCTTCAGCAAAATGGCCATGAAGTATTACGTCTACCTCCCTATTACTGCATTTTTAGCCCGATTGAGTTGGTCTGGGCTGCTTTAAAAAAAAAAGTAAGAAAACATAATCAGACCCCTCAATTAAGTGAATCGCTATTGGCCACAATAAGAGATGCAGTATCTCATATTGCTGCCACAGACCTATGGAAGCAGTGTTCTAGGCATATTATTGAAAAAGAAAATGAATATTGTGTTTTGCCTCCTGTAAATCCCGTTGTAATTCCTCTACAAGATGACTCTAGCGACAGCTCCGAAGGCGAGGATGATATATAAATACCTATAATGTAAGTCTTTATACGTATATACCTTTTTATATACCTACCTGCTATGTAAATATTTGCCTATGTCAAACGTTGGAATTCTGTAATTTTTCCATTTCTTAACTTTCAGTCAACATAAATTAAACTCCCAATATAAGTATTTTTTATCCCAAATCAAAAAAATAAGAAGATAGTAAAATCCATTTATTGTGATATAAAAACATTATTATTATCGTTCTAAATAAATGACCGCACGCCTATGATACGTCATGAAATTACAAAGGACGCGCCGACCAAAGGTTTTTATGCTATTTCAAGTGACTTCAGATAAAGTATACCTTCGTGGATTTCAGTGCTAAACGGACTGTGTTCGTTTGCGGTTGATAGATACGATGTTACATTTTTTGCGAGTGATTTTATGTTGGAAGGTGTCTGTAAGACTTCAGATCTGTGTAAGAGGAATTTTGTTTACAAGATGAATATTTATAATTTATGATTATTTTGTTAGGTTTTTTTTAGCCAAAAATTTATCTGGTCCTTCAAAACGAGTGAAGTATACGGACTCAAATTTCGAGGAAACTGTTATAAAATAGTTTGAGGAGGTTGATTCCTGCAATTCTGCTGATGAGGACGACGACGTGGCTGACAGCGATTTCAGTTTGAGCGAGCATGATAGTGAAAGTGAAATTGATATAAATTATAATGAGGGCATTGATATGACATGTGAACCGGATGTATCAAATTCATCTGCTGACGAGAGGTCAAGTGAAAATAACACATCAAGATATTATTATGGCAAAACACGCTTCAAGTGGTCTTCCAGTCCTGCTTTTGTAACAAATACCAAAACCTTGAAACATAATATCATCTTGAAATGCCCAGGACTAAAAAATATAGCCTATTTTTGTATTATTTGCAAACGGCCAGTGTGTTTGGAATGTACAAGAAAAATTTGCAAGAGATTGTGCTGTATAAAAAATAAGTAAATATATGCCTTGCAATTTTTTTTATGTTAAATTTGTTTATGTTACCTTTAGGATTTTCTGAATGTGTTATATTCATATTTTATAAATAAAATTAAATAAACACTGTTTTTTAGTATGTTAGGAAGATTTTGAGGCAAAATATATTATGTGCCAAAATCCAAAATTGTTGCTTCAATAATCAGAAACTATTTTCCTGCAAACAAACGTTTTAGTATTTATCCATTTGAATTCTTTTATTTTGTGCTCAGTACACCTAGAATAATAACCAATTTCCGAATAAAGTTATTAAAAAATATACAATGCCAATTTTTGATAAAATAAAATTGCCGTCTGAGAGACGTCACGTCTGGTAGAGTGTGAGTGGAATGTCACCTCTGTGGTTACGGATTAACTAAAATATGACAGCAGAAAGCTAGGTTATGGTGAAGCTGTATACCAACATATATAGCATATGTACAGCCTTTAACAGTTACTAAACAACGGTTCTATAAGTGCTTCCGTCGGGAGCAGTTTGTTGGCTAAAGTAGTAAATTTGCACAGCAAAACAATAAGGCTCGGGTTTGTCTTATAAACGTTACCGTGGATGCCACAACACAACCATTTTGACTAACCTGCAAATATGCCGTATAAAATAGTTGTATAAACGTTTATGCAACAGTTAAAAATTTGTCCTATAAGGTGTCGTGTAACTATGCTATAAGAATATTTTAAACACCTCATTTTACAGCAAATATGTTGCAGAAACAAATTTGCATTCCACACAACATTAAGACAGCATTCTGGTGTTCAGGTAACAACAATAGAGAGCTTTTATGGCTGAACGGTTCTTTTACCAAAAGCTTATAGCACTACTTTGCTAGTTGGGCCACAACCTCTTTTTCATCGGTTTTTGTTGCCGTCTTCTACGTAAAATAGTATAAACGGCAACGGCGCGCACGATGTTGTTTCGCACATACATATTGAACTACTGATCATACGCAGCATGTGAAAACGCGATAGCATAGGTGCTGACGGTCAGCACTGACCATCAGCGGTGAGCGTCGACTACATCTAAAACGGCTCTTAGATCAAGAATGAAACAATAACATTCTCACGAAATTTTATAGCATTTTCTCCCAACCATTGGTCAGCGATCTGACGCGTAGTAGCAAAACGGCGTCGTAGGGCTGGTTGTCTGAAGCTGACGCTCTGTGGACCAGTTGGCCTTCTTCGTATTCCTCTACCTTCTTCTATCCACACACGACAAACACGCTTTATCGTCATTGCAGTACAATTAACACGGCGGCCAATTTCCCGATAGGACAAAACAACATCTCGATAGGCAATATTCTACCCTTGTCAAAGTCTCTAACATGGTGATAATATGGATGTCTTCGAGCTCGAGACATATCGTTATGCTTAGCACAAGTAAATGACAGGGCAATAACTAAAGATATCTGTACTATTCAGCTCTCAGAAACTGCTTTCTTCACAAAAACGAAAAGATAATATTTTAACAAAGGTTAACAAAGATAAAACGTTGACATTGCTGCCACAGCATGCTTTAAATGGGTTTTTCTCTGTAAAGTGGTCAACTCGTTGTCTCCTACCATAATAATGTGAAATATAAGAGATTATTATTTATTTCATTACTATTTTCGAAACATAATGATCTAGTCCACCTGTCCTTAGTACATAACACACCAGATTCGGAAACATCGCACTCATCCTGACCAACAACACCTCAAGATGTTGATATGTTCAAAAAACGAATTAATAGGGAGAAGAGACTTAGATATCAAATAAAAAAGATGATGAGATTAAATTACTAAAAAGAAAATTATTGGAATATAGAAAATGTGTTTCGAGACTGATGAAAAAGGAAAGAAAAATGTGTAAAAATACTGACTAGCAAATAGTCCAAAAACTAAGAAAGATCTAGTCAAGAAGGCATTGTTTGGTGAGGTGTTAAAAGAACAATTACAAGAAAACTTCTCAAACATAGAAACATTGAAAGAAAAAAAAGTAGTATTCAGAAAACTAGTGGAAAAATACAGATTATGGCGTATGGAAAACACAAAAGTGATTAATTACAGAAGAATAAAAAAAGCAAAACTACTCGGAGGACGCGTTGTCGGAAAATTCTATAACTCTTTGGACTTAAAATGCGAGTCAGTTGGGATAGTGATGAAACATCTAAGTTGCTTTTGTAACAAAGATGGTTGCCTTCACTTGAACATCAGAATATTACACTATGAAAATAAAGTTAAACTAACAGTTGCTGAAGAATTCACTGACTCAGAACCTGATGAAGCCGGACCCAGCTCTTCCGCAGCCAAAGCACTCATCAATGTAGTTTACATCCTAGTCGAATTAGCCACAAAAATATGCAATATAGATAAGTAAGCGTAATAAACAAAATCGATGAAGATAGGGAAATTCGAGTTACATTTTTAAAGCTTTACAATAATAAAGGTCAAACATTTAGAATGGATCCGGACGATATTACAATGGATCAAGTAATAGAAAAATTACCTAATCCAAACATACTTTCAAAGAGAAAAATAGACTATTTTATACATTTGATCCATTAATGTTTTTGAAAAACGTTAAGCTTCGTAAAACTAATGGTTGTGTTACCTTAAGCTTACAAAGTTTTGTAACCTGGAACAAGAGTATAATAAAAGTATTGATCTTTTTCGTAGTGTAGCGAAGAATTACTATAATTGTTAATTTCCAAGTTTAGAGAAAATAAAATATTTAATTTTGCTAATATATTGGTACTTTTAATTTGAGTACACAGTCCCCTGCCATAACTGACAGTCCCCTGTGTCAATAATTTAGAAAATGCTTAATATTTCCTAAATTATGACCTATATTTTTGGGTTCCCCGTGGTTTGTCATTAAGCTTGAAAGTATCCATCTCCTAAGTAAGATGTTTCAAACATTTAAGCAAAAAAGTGGGCAAGACAGTTTTTCCAAATAAGTTGACCAGTTTACAGAGAAACAACCAAACATATTCGTTATGTCGCCAAAAAAACAAGTTGAGGAAATTATTTTTTCTGGCGGTAACACTTCTGATGTCGCTGTGTATATTTTAAGCATCTTCCGAATTCAATAGTAGCGAACTAATGGCTCTGCCTAGAGGATAAATCCTAACCTAATGTTCGTGGTACATGAGATCAGTCTAAAAAGAGCTGGTAAGACGAAAAAATCTAAAACCCGTTTAGATAATAGTCGGTAACGGCTGATAATCTCGAATGATATATCCTTTTAATAATATCGTTGTTTATAACCGTCCTAAATTGAAGTGGACGCAATAGTTAACGGTGAGCGAGAACGAGCAGGCTTTTGGCTTTACCGTGTAATATTTCAATTTCGAGACACCGCGATGTTTCCAGCATAACCCCTTTAGCGTACCATTCTATTAAATAATCCCCAGGATGAGGTTTACCTATTAATTTGTGGCGTGGTTCACAGGCACGTTTTGGCTATGAGCTGCCGCTTCTAGCACAGTTAAGCTTTTAGACTAAACTCAGGCCACGCATTAAATACTTCAATAAATTTATAACAAATGGCGTCGAGTAGGTTGACTCAGCACTTCCCAGGCAACGCAGTCATTAGATCATAAAGGATTATGTTCGGCACAAGCTAGCACTTCTGAAGAAAGCCTTAGTTCCCACCCATTTGACAACTTGGCAATCTAGAAATTCTTCCCGTGCCCTACCGACACTACTGAATATATGGCACCGTTTTTCTGACTAGCCTCGGCAAAAGCCCATCGTTTAGATGATTGTTTCATGTGAGAAATACGTCTAATAGCTGCGTAGAATTATCGTTATCAGAAAATTAAGGAAGGTTATAAGTGCTATCCTCAGCATATTGAAAATCAGTTACAGCTGAATCCTAAATCATTTTCGTCATTTATTCACCGAAAAAAACAGAACCTCTAGAATCCCAGCCAAGGTGATTTATAATAATGAAACGTTTAGTGATTCTAAAAGTGTAGTCAATGCCTTTGTTAGTTTTTTGAGAGCACCGTAACTTCGGCTGACAATGATGCCGAAGAGAACCCAACATTCAGTCCTGATCTCATTGATACATTGGATGTGAGTGTCGAGTCAATAACAGAGGAAGAAATATTGGAGGCAGGAAAGAAATTAAAAAACAAACTAACGTAAGGTCATGATCAGATCCCTTCATTTTTTTCTCAAAGATTGTATAATAGTTCTACTTTACCCACTTAAAGCTATTTTCAACCAAATTCTCAAGACATCAACTTTTGCTGAATTGTGGAAGATTGCCAAGGTATGCCCTATACACAAGTCGCAACAGTTAAATGTTATAAGCAACTACAGACCAATTTCTATTCTCTGAAATCCAGCGAAGCTCTTATAAATTATTTTACATGACGAAACAATAGAACGGGGTCAGGTAGATACTGTCATGTTGCCATTTAATAAAATCAGACACAGTGCTCCACAAACTTTTTTCTTTAGGCCTTCATAGTTCTTTTTTAAATCTTCTAAAATCTTATCTGCAACAGAGACGGCAATATGTTCACATTAATTCAACCACATCTGCTTACTATGCTTCTACTGGTGGAGTACCAAAGGGGTCCAATTTGGGACCTCTATTATTATTGTTATATGTTAATGACCTGTGCACTTCACTGGAACGCAATAGATTAATGTTTGCGGACGATCTAAAAATGTATGCGTCCATTGCATTGCCCTGCAATCGCAGATCGATGTTTTACATGACTGGTGTCTCAGAAATCATCTGCATTTAAATATCTCCAAATGCAGAATAGTAACCTTTAGCCGACGTTCCACCATACTATATCCTTATACAATTAATAATAATAATAATAATATTTATTTACTCTAAAATACAGGGAACATGAAACGAGTAAATAAATATAATATATCCATAGGAGGACAACGCCTGTGCATGGATCATATGTATGTTGAATTGCAAAATATAATAAAATAGAGAGAAAAAAGAAATTATTGGTAAGAATGGTAGAGCATTTATTGTGTAATATTTGAGATTATTTTATTAATTTGATTTCTCCCAATCGTGTTAATAAATTTTTTAATTTTTTTTTGAAGCGTAATTGTTTTAAATTATTTGGTATGTTCGTACAATTTTGGAGCTATATACAGGTGACATCGTTTCATTAGGGATTTATTTGGTTTAGGAACATTTTTTGCGCGTAATTTATATCTGGTTTTATGATTATGTTTAATTATGTCGTGTTCACTAATAGTTTTGTGATAATGAGTGATGGTATGTAAGAAGTAAAGTTGTTTAGTATCATATACTTGTGCATCATTATATAAGTCATTAGTTGGGTATAATTTTGATTTGCCTAACATTGATTTTAAAATTCTTCTTTGAAGTACATCTAAATCGTTAAAGTATGTCGTGCATGCAGCACCCCACACTACTATACCATATGTTATGTGTGGCTCGACTAAAGCTTGATATATTATTCGTAGATAATATTCAGTTAATATACCGGTTAGAAATTTTATTTTATATGCTATGAATCTAATTTTCTTTAGTATGTGAGAAATATGTACATCCCATCTCAAGTGGGGATCTAGATAAATTCCTAAATATTTTGTATCATTAACTCTATTGATTTTTATATTTTTATCATTTACCTTAAACCGAAGGTGGTTATATTTTGGTAGATGATTAGATAGTGATGAAAATGGTAAAAAATGAGTTTTAGTAAAGTTAATTGTTAATTTTCGGTTATTAAACCACTGAATAATTTTGCAAAAGTCATTTTGGATAATATCTTTTAAGTCATTCCAATCCTTACCTTTATAGAGTATAGCAGTATCGTCTGCAAAACTGACTATTTTACCAGTACTGTTAATTTTGAATATATCGTTTAAATAAATATTGAATAACAGAGGACCCAAAATTGTACCTTGTGGAACACCATATTTAACAAACATTTCTCTACTATACGAGCTTAATAATTTTACTGATTGCGGTCTATTTGATAAATAATTTTCCATTAAAGTATACATCTTTCCACGAAAACCTATTCTTTCTAAGATTTCCAAAAGTATATTGTGGTTAACTGTGTCAAATGGTTTTTGTAAGTCCACAAATACGCATATCGATGGTACTTTTCCATCTATATTTTGGGTTATTTCATCTACTATACTTAATACCCCATCTGTTGTAGATTTGCCCGCTATAAAACCATATTGATTTGAATTTAGAATTTTGAATTTATTAAGAAAATTAATCATTTTATGAAGGAGTAATTTCTCAAAAACTTAAGCTAAACTTGATATAAGTGAAATAGGTCGATAGTTAGTGACGTCCGTATTATCATTAGATTTATAGATAGGTATGATGATTGCTGTCTTGAAAGCTGATGGAAATACTCCAGGTTGGAAGGATTTGTTAATGATATAAGCAAGTGGTTCTGTTATTTGTTTGGCCAGTATCTTTAGATGTTCAGCTCTAATTTCGTCAACTCCAGGGCTTTTTTTATTTTTTAGAGTCATAATGGCATTGAAAACATCCTGATAGTCTACTTCAGTTAATACAAATGAATTATTCAGTCTTGTTTCATGCAGATGAATATCAGCATTTTGTTTGATATTATTTGCTAAGTTTCCTCCTATATTCGTGAAAAATTCTATGAACTCATCACATATTTGCTGAATATTGTCTGTTTTCTGTCCTGTTTTTGTTTTTATTTCACTAATATTCTTTTTTGAATAGGATGACTTATTGAATATATCATTGACAGTGGACCATAGGTGTCTAGAGTCATGTGAATTATTATTCAATTGTTTTATATAGTAATTTTTTTTTGCTTTTCTCAAAAGTTCTATAAATTTGTTTTTATACTGATTATAATGATCTATATTTTCTTTCGTGGGTAAATATTTCATGATTTTATACAGTCTTTCTTTTTCGTTTGCAGATTTTATTAGTCCTTTGGTCATCCAATCATTTCTGCTTTTTTCCTTGTGACTTATTTTAACCTTATTAGTACTAACTTCAATTACTTTTTGAATTTTGTGTATTAATAAATTTGTAGCTTCGTCTAAAGAATTTGTTAAAAAAATTTCGTCCCACGATTCCGTTTATGCGTTAAATATTAATTTTGAGTTGTCAGTTAAATATTTGTAATCAAGGTTTCTTTCATTTTTTGCCCTTGGGCAGTTCTGGTTTTTATTTTGTGAAGATATCAATAATACAGTGGAATAATGATCTGTAATATCGGTTTCATAGATAATAGGCATGTAAGAAAAAATATTGGAAATATCCTTTATAAAGCAGTGATCAATGCAGGTTTTACTGGTGGGTCGTGCTACTTTATTTATGTATGATAAAATGTTTAAATATTCTTTCACCATAGAATT